AGAAAGAAAGAAAGAAAGAAAGAAAGAAAGAAAGAAAGAAAGAAAGAGAAGCGAGCAGTTGGAGAGCTCCCCCTTCGGCCGCTGCAGCGAAGGCGGCGCAGCGGAGCCGAAGGAGGAGCTGCAACGGGCTGACGTGCAAAACGGCCGCGGAGGCGGTGCAACCTTGCACTCTTGCAACGCGCGTGGCGTGCATTTGCTGCGACGGCTGCGCGCACACACACTCACACACACACAAACACGCGTGGGGGAGGGGAGGGGGCCGGGCAGAGCCTCCAGCGCAAGGCGATCCTCCCCGGAGCGAGCGCCAAGCGGCCCCCGGGCGCACCTCGCCAAGCGCAAAGACTCGCCGAGACGCGCCGAGCCGGGCCGTAAGCGCATGGCCACGCCGGGAGCCGGGGCGCCCGGAGGTCCGCGGGCAGCCCTGGAAGACCCCGGCCCGCCGCCCCAGCCGCCCCCCGGGGGACCCCAACCCGCGGGGAACCCCCAGGCCCCGGGAGAGCCGCTGGCCACGGCCCCCGCGCCGCTCCCCGCCCCCCAGCCTTGCGCGGCGCCCGAGCCCAAGTTCCTGCCGCCCCAGGCGCAGCCCGCGACCCCCGCCGCCCCGCCCGGCCCGGGCCTGGAGGACTATTCGTTCCTGCCCCTGGTGCGCGACATTATCAAATGGTAAATGCCCCGCCGAGCCTCCGGGAACAGGGGCAGTCTATCTTGGAGGGGAAGGGGTGGAGGAAAGGCGGGTTTCCAGGCGGGGAACTCTCCCACGCATCCCGGGAAGGGGGTACCCCCTCCCCATTTCAAACTTGAGATCTCCAGAAAGATTGGTGCCCCCCCTCCCCTTAGATCTCTACCCAGTTCAGGATTTGAATCTGCATCTGGGGCCCAGCGGATGGGGAGCATCCTGGTGCATAGCTGGCAGGGCTCAGTTCCTGCCACATCTGGGCAATTGGAGGCTTCTGGAGAGGGAGGAAGCGGGATTCGGAGCTAGCCCTAGCCCGAGCTTGCAAAATCTTTCCCTTGCCATCTTTTATTGCTTTTATTATTAAATTCGTCATCATGTATTTATGTACCATCCGTCCATGCTATATCCATGCTGGCTGGGGAGTTCTGGGGATCCAGGTGGGCCCACCTGCAAGTGGCTCAGGTCGAGCAAGGCAGCTGTGGACCAGTCTGAGCCAACTGGATGCAGAACATCTCAACATCCGAAAAACATCCCAAGCTGTAAATCAGAATTTAAGGATGATGCTAACAGAAGGCTAAAATAATAAGATGGACGTTTGCCACTGAACACGTCCAAAGGGTCCAAAGAGAGGATGCGGGTTTTTTTAAATATCATTCCTAAATGTTGGTGGTTGGGGAGAGCAATTGCACCGCTGGATGAGGAGGGACCCTTCTGAGAAGGCCTGTCTGGACTTAGAATAACTTTATAACTTTTAGACTTAGAATAATATACAGTAATGTGGGTATATGCATATTTATTTATTTTATTTTATTTTATTTATTTATATATGCGACATTTCATTCTGATGTATGCCAATTAGTGTACATTCAAGGTGACAATAAAGTTATTCTAAGTTGTCTAAGTCTGGATCTTCACACCCACCCTTGCAAAATGAATTTTTTTGGGGGGGCTATTCCTCCCCACTAAGACGCAGAATAAATATTTTGGTTTTCTCCTGCCTGCTTTGCAAAAGCCGATTTACTCTAACCTCTGGTTCCCCGCCAGCTGCTAATGGAAAAGTCCCAAATATAATGCTTCCTTCCAAAGGACGTGGGAGTTGCTTTCAGCGCAGGGACACGGTTCTCTTGTTTTCAAAACAGGAGATTTATTTCTGCAGTTAGCAACTCTTGTGCTCGCTTGCTCTCTGTGCCTTCCTCCTCAAGGTTCGTTTATTTTTTTATATTTCATACTTCCTCACCGCCCATCTCGCCGTGATTTCTTGGGCCATCAACACAGAGAGGTGGGGGAGGGGGCTGGGGGGAGCAGGGAGTAGGAATAATGGGCTGCCTTGATTCAGAGAACTGGGTTTTGGGGGTTTTTTTTGGCAGATGGGGAGGGGCAAAAAACTTGGGAGTTTCTAAATTTTCCCATTTGAAAAACGATTAAAACGGGGTTTTTCAATGGAGGTCAGACTCCGAGAGCAACCAAGCATAGCGAAGTTCGCCTTGCAGCGAGACGAGCAGCCAACCAGTTTAATAAACAAATAATTAATAAATAAAGGCCTGTTCGAAGTGACTGGCATGAAATAAAAGGGAAAGAAATCAAAACGACAGAGAATTAAAATCCAGGATGTTAAATAGAGGACTGGTTTAAAAAAAAAAAAAAGTAAGCTTGTGGCCAAGAGCTCGCTTTGTTAAAAAAAAAAAAAATCAGAAAAGATATTTTAAAAATCATTAATTAAAATCCCCCCCCCCCCCAAAAGATTGGAAGGTTGCACGGTTCCCTGGCCATTCCTTGCTTGTATGTAAATAATGTTGGCAGTTAACCAAAGGAATTTATTTCTATCCTGCTTCCCATTTCTTTGTTTCAGCATGAATAAAGACAGCCAGGAGGTCCACCAGTTGCTGAACGAGCTGAGGACTAAATTTGTGGAGACCCACAAACTGGTCAAAAGCATCCAAGGGATCAGCCTGAGCCCCGAACAGCAGCAGCAGCAGCTACAGAACCTCCGGGAACAAGTCAAAACCAAGAACAAACTCCTGCAGAAATATAAGACTCTGTGCATGTTTGAAATCCCCAAGGAATAACGGAGGAGACATCCGGCAGTCCCTCTGAAGTGACCTTGGCCAGGCATGGGCCCTTTAAGGGGCGTGGACTTCAACTCCCAGAATTCTGACCGGGGCTGGGGAATTCTGGGAGTTGAAGTCCGTGCCTCTTAAAGGGACCACATTTGAAATAGAAGGGGCGATGGGCTTGAAACAGAACGTCATGGATGTTCTGGTGTGCAATTAGTGAGCTCAATAGGATGTGATTGTGCAAAACTCACTTTTACCTGGTGGGAGTGGGTGGTGGTGTCTGTGGGCCGGTTCCTTTGCAATTGGGTGGTAAAGCAATGCGAGAGTGTGCCACTTCATCAGAAAGAGGGTTTCACCTTGGCTGTTCCCTGCATTAAAAGCGAGAAAAATTCAAACCCCAAAATCGGGAATGAAGTTTCAGGTTTAGCTTTCTACTTGCTAAAAAGTTGATTTATTGCGGTTTTTATTCCCTGCTCTTCCGAGTTAACGCTTTTCACCCCTTCAGCCCCCTGTTTGACAGCTCCCCCCTCTGTGGGTGAGAAGTGGTATGCTCCAGGTGGAACTGTCCCACCCAGTCTTCACGTATGGCTGATCTCAGAATTTTTAAAGGGGAAGGGACCACTTCATTGAGTGGGAGGGACGGCCGGTTTGTGAATCCCATTTTTCTTTCTTTTTTAAAAATTTTAAACCTTTATTGAAATTTGAAACATTAAAATACAAGTAAATCTAAAATGACTTTGTACAGTTCTCCATCTTCTTTGACAGTACTAAAAATTCTCAGTTATATTCATATATTTCCATACATTTCTAATTATATACATATACATATTTATATCTTCTTCTGATCTATACATTTATTATTCCTACTATCTATCCATTGATACCAGTTATCCCAAATTGAATACTATTCCGAGTCTTCCTTATTGTTCAATGAGTTTGTCCATTTCTACGCAATCAAAAAAAATTTGGGATTACTAAACAATCTGTCGGTTATAGTGGTCATTTCCCAAGATTGTGTGAGTGCAATTCTTGCTGCTGTGGTGATGTGTAAAATCAAATATTTTATCTTTTTAGGATACTTTCCCTTAATAATCCTCAATAGAAACAATTCCGGCTTCAATTTTATTCGGCAGTGTGTAATTTCACTTAACCATTTTTGTATTTTGATCTAGTATTTTTTAATTTCCGGGCAAAGCCACCATACATGGAAAAAGGTACCTTGCGCCTGTTTATATTTCCAGCAATTAGGGTTTAAATTTGGATACATTTTTACAAGTCTTGTTGGGGTTAAATGGCAACAATAAATGATTCCCATTTTTGGGGTGGGGGGGATTTTTCTTAATGCAGCAAAGCAGCGAGGAAGAAAATGGGAGTAGCGTTTAAAACCTTCAGCAATTTTTTTTTTAAATCCACATGAATGATGTCTGAATTAAACTTATATGATATCAATCATCCGTTTGCGTGGAAGGTATTGATGGAGAAAGCCTTCATTTATCCATGTGTGAATGTCGTTACAAGTATTTTTAGGTTGCTTGTAGGGCAACCTTAATGGCTTTGCTAAAAAAAAAAATGGGAGGGGGGAAGATGGTGGATTATATTAATATTCCGGGGTTGCCTGTGCACCCCCCACTCCCGCCCTGCTGACATGGCCTGTCATGTCTTAACACGCCTGATTTATTTTACTTACGTCGTTCTTCGTCGGGTTTGCCAGCTGTGTAGCCCTTTCGCTTCAAAAATAGCCTTCTTTAAACAGGCGGTGTGGATGTGTGCGTGTTTTTAATCACAAAAATCACTGCATCATCTCAACTTTGATAGGATGAAAAGACAGAAATCTGATCTCTCGGCTGTTTAAGGCTGATCCGGGATTATCTTAAGCTTCTTGCTCGCCATTCTTTCAATCCTGATTCTTAACCATGTTGGGGGTGGGTTGTTTTTTTTTTTTAATCATGTCATTTCCCCTCCCCCCTTTGTTTTTCTCCTTTCTTTGTTATGTGTAAGAAGGTTGATTTCCTCCACCCCCCACCCCCTTCCTAGTACCTTAGGACGGTTACTATTAATTAAAGCCACACTGAGTGACGTCATGGCTTCTGTAATTGAAGTTATTTCTAGTCTGTGAAAGTCATTAATAAAAATAACTTGCAATTTCAAAGAATTGAACGCAGTTTGGGCCCTGTCTTTTTGAAACTCAGGGACTTTAAAATGGGTGAACTTCCAACTCCCAGAATTCCCAGCCAGCAATTCTGGGAACTGAAGTCCATCTTAAATTTCCCCCACGTGGTACCCAGGGACTCCCTTCCTTCCTTCCTTCCTTCCTTCCTTCCTTCCTTCCTTCCTTCCT